CCCAAGTGGTGAAAAAGGGATTTCCTTGTCTGAGATGATGACAGATACTTTATTATCTTCCTGATTCTTACCTGTCTTTTCAAAAGTTTCTTCCAGAAACTATCTTAACTTTATAATAAGGATAAGAAGATAGTGTCATTAAAAAGAAGAATTTCATCTGTCACTAGACCACTGCTGTTCATTTTGGTTTGGCTAATAACACAATGTGAAGGGCTTTTTAGCGAGTCTTAATAACCCAGGCTTTTTAGTGAGAAGATTCCCTCTGATGTTTGGACACCCCTTGTCTTTGGAGTCACAGCTTCCTTGGAGATCAAGGCACCTTTTGCTGACTTGAGCATTCCCTGGGGACATGAGAGGGTGTCTGGCTGTGGTCAGCAGAGGAGCAGTGGTGCCTGAGGCGTGCATTTCCTCACGAGAGGCAGGACGTGGCCCAGGAGCTGGACTTAGCTGGAAGTGTGTTCCTAAGTTTCGGTGGGGTTGGGGTTGGGGAGGCAGCTTCCTATTTTGACCACGGAGGGAGCCGCCTCAGGGAGGAGGTGACAGTGGCCATTAGGATGGGCAGGCCCCGCCACAGGATCTCAGGATCTCAGGATCTCAGGATCCCGTCTCTCATGGGGGATTTTCGTTTCGAGGGCCTGATAAATAAGGTGAGATGAGATGGGGTTGTTGGAGCTGAATCACGGGGAATGTCAGAAAAGACAGAGATGGTGTGGTGGGGAGACAGAGACAGACAGAGAGACAGTCAGGCAGAGAGACAGAGGAAGGAGGAGGAGTGAGGCTGGATAGGTAGTCAAGGAAGTGACCGTGTTCTCGGGACGCAGCAGCAACTGTGGTGACCGCACAGCCAACACAGTCAGTCTCAGGATTTGCACGGTAACTGAGCTCATTCAAGCAAAGCTGTCTTCCGTGGAGACTTTCCCCTTCAGAGAACATGCACATTTTAATTTTGCCTGTCCTTAAACTGACTCTTTGCTCATCATAATCGTGAAAAACACAGCCCTGGGTGGAGATTTTAGATGCTAAAGAGACATGTGACACATGAATGAGCATGTGCAGCTACTGCACAGGTGCACCCGAAAGACCACGCGGAACAGCTTCCTAGTAACGCCTCTTCCCACCTCCTTACGAATAATCATGGAAGACTCCCAGAAGGGAGCCTCCCTGGTGTGGGTCTTCGCTGTCTCATCCTTGCGACCAGCCCACCCCGAATCCTCTCTCTCAGAGTGCACTGGCGATTCTGCACCTAACTTTCAACATATTCTTTTTCTGTTGCAATAAATTACTCTGTGCTGCCCTTCTTTTGCTGTGTGTCTCTTGTTTAAATTCTTTTAAATTAAGAAGACAAGAACAGAGGTATCACATCAGCAGTCAACAGAAGGAAGAAGAAGAAAGAGATATTAGAGATACTAAAATGTTATCAGGAGATGCCTGACTCCTGTTTTGTGGAGGAGGAGGAGGAGAAGAAGGAAGAGTTCTCTTTGAGATAAGTTTCTTCTTCCAATGCCTGCTCCCTGAAGAATCATTACAACAACAGCAGTAACACCACGATGTGCAAGGCCGTTGCATCTGTCTGAGAAGACTGGGTAACCCAGCATAGACAATTAGATTAGAAAACTGTCTCCCTCCCCGGCCCCTCTCTGCAGCCCCATTCCTCCCCTGCACACACAGGTCCCCAGGGACAGCACTTCTCAGTGTGCAGGATCAAAGGCTGCAAATAATTAATGAGCCTCTTTTTCCCAAAGAGCTCCCGTGACAATAGCTCAGCCTGTCGGTGATGTTATCCCGGCTTTACTTCAGGAGAGGAGGGGAAGAAAGGGAAAGGAGGGAAAGGTGGTGGGGAGGGGGGGAGAGAGGGAAGGGGGGAGGGGGGAAGGGAGAAAGGGAAATGGAGGGGTCCAGCCAGTACCAGGCTAAGAAAGGGTCACGTGTGGGCCACTATGGCTGCCAGCAGGAAGGAATATGCGTGAGGAGTGAGGCCAGAGAAATGCACATGCACGGACACATTTACTTTGCTCCAAGGCTGGGAAAGGGATTAGTCCAGCCATCACTTAGCCAGGCCAATTTGTAAATGCTAGAACTCTTATGCAGACCTAAGAGACACATTGTCCCTCCCTCCCCAGGCTGGAATCCTGTCTCAGGCAGCTGCAGAGACACATTGCAGCTCTATTTTCTGTGGGGTTCACAAGGTTGACCTTGGTGCCAGTGGCTCTCTGTGGTTCCTGATTACTCAGCATTTTTCCCATCCTCTGGGACGAGCCTCCTGCACTTCCTCGGGTAGCCGCCCCTGCAGGCCCTCAGAGCTGGGTGCTGGGGTCCGTGGGAGGCTCAGGCACCAGGACTCGTGGCACAATCCGTCCTGCTAATCTTCTGCTTGGTTCAGAGAGCTGTGCTCGTGACTCAACCTGGGCCTTGGGCTGGGCTAGTGATTAGGGAGGAAGATGTTGCTTTCCTCTGGTAGGATCAAGGACAGATGTTGCTGGTGCCTCTTCCCTCTTCTCTCTACAGATGTGCAAATATGGCTGAGCGTGGAGACAACCCAGGGGAAAGGAGAGCTAGATATGGAGAAGGAATATGGTCTGAGCACCTGAATTCCATCATGCTGGAGGCCTTCATTCCCATGGACTTTTCCATTAGGTGTGGTGACCCAGGCGAGTAAGCAGGACCCCCCTTTGGCCTATGTCACTGTGACTTGGGTCCTGGTTACTTGTGAAGGAAGGCCACAGCTGTGATTATCACACTTGCTAGAGAAACAGGAAGATCCTCAGAACTTTCTGCGTTCCAGCTTCTCCCCATGGGTGTCACCTTGAGTCATTTCTAGGTTGCTTTCTCCGACCTCCTTCTCTTGCACAGCGGTGGGATCAAGTCCCTTGTCTGCCAGTGCTATTTAATAGTTACACGACCTTTGCTCCCCACGGCTCGAATCTTGGCCTGGATGCTCCTTAATGTCTCGGCTCTCCGAGGCGCCCCTCCCTCCCCAGGCTGGAATCCTGTTCCTAACTCAGTTTGCTGGAACTGCACCTGTGGCCTGCCTCCATACTCCCAGTAGCAAACTTCATTTGCCACACAGGATGTTCATCCTCCTTCTCAGTCAGCCGCCCTCTGTGCTGGGTATCTGGAAACATCATCTCGATTGACCACTAGTCAAGGTGACTGGAGCAGGGAGGCGCATGACCCCAACCCCAGCAAGGCAGAGCTGCCCCGGGAGTGTGACCATGGGCCGAATGACACTAGAATGCAAAACAGCTGGAGCTGGTTTATTCTCGCTGGGAGATCCTAAACTGCAAGCCTGTCTGTTCCTGTGACTTAGAGCCTGAAGGATGCCCTAGCTCCTGTGCTATCTCAAGCGGGTTCTTCAGATATTCCTCCATCATATGTAGTATCCATAGGGTCTTCCAGCACATTTTCTCTTTGCCCAAGTCAGCAGAGCTGGTCTTAATCAAACAACCCAGCTTGACCTTCCTCTCCCACTGTCTGTCCCATCTTTGTGGGACATCTAGTCCTGGGTCCTAGACACCTCCATCCATCCCTCCTCATTGCATTAACTCTTTTATGACTGGCAGCATCCCAAGTTGTTCCAGCAATGGCAGAGACACAGGGTCCAAAACATCAACCTGATTTAACTCATTTTATTACCCTCAGTGTCCCTGCTTTCACCTCCAATTGTAGAAATACAAGATGACAGATAAGCTCACCTGTAGACATCCTACCTTTGTCCAACTACCTTGTAGTCTGTTAAACTACCAGTTTTCCCATCTAAGTACTTAAGAGAGACTTTCTCTTTGATGTTTAAATTGCATGTTTCCATTGTCAGATAGCAACAAGAAAAAAAAGGGAAAAAAAGAATGGCTATTTCAGATTCACATTATTATAGGATTTGGTATTATTTCACACGCTTGTCTAGTTCATCTGGCATTCGGAAAGCTTAGCCATAAAAATAAATCCACTTTTGGGGTTGGAAAATAACTTTTGCTTCTTCTCCGCCAGCTTGCTCCAAAGTAAAGTGGTTGACTCAGTCCCTGTTGCACATTTTCAGGTGTTTCAAATCAGGAAAATCAGACATGTGTTTATTGTAAGTGTGTCCAGTACTTGATTATTTGTATCTCATATGAGAAGAAGATTAGATTTTGGAGGAGGAAGATTAATAACTTTCTTCTGCAGAGAGAGGCATGCATTTGGATCTGCACGCTGATTTAAGTTTATTGTGAAACAATGCACCAACGAGGGTGTCTTTTATTTGCCAGCATTAGATGCACCATGGGTAGACAGCGACCATTTAATTAAATCTCATTATGAAAATGCCTTCTATCTAAACATCAGGCAGAGCTTAAGAAAGGAAGACAGAGACTTCTGAGCACATTATTATTATTATTAATTGTTGCCTGCCCCTCATCAGGCAGAATATCAATCCCAATGGTCTATTTCCAAGCACCAGGAAGTGACTTTGCTCCTTCCCCTCCCGACAGCTCAGAGTCAGTGAGCATTTAGCAGCTAGAAGGAGCACGAACTTTGCAGAGTGTCCTGTTTCCATGCTGATTCCTCTGCCACCAGGCTGGGCTGCTTGAGCAAATCCTGAACCTCTCTGAATCTGCAATACCTGTATCTGTAAATGGAGTCACCTAAAACATTTGCCATGAAGCGGTGCTAATGACAAAGCAGGCAAGTTTCTGAGATGCAGGAGGCTACCCGGAGTGGCTCCCTCCTCTCTCCCTTCAAGGACTGTGCCCAGGGCCAGCAGAGCTGGCTGGTCATTTGGGAACACAGCCCTGAAGCTACTCTCCTCCCAGGCTGGAATCAGGTGGGAGCGCCACCCTCACCAGAGAGCCTGGCCCCCTGCAGCCGTCAGCCACAACCTCCTTGCAATGACGCTTTCCTCCCACTTGCCCGGATTGTTAACAAGTTTAATTTAATGGTATCTGCTCCTGACAACCAGCTTCTGTGACTGGAAAGGAAAAGCAATTCCTGCCCACCTCCCGTCTGTGGTTCCGGAGCCACTCACCCACCTGATGGTTTGATGCTGCAGGGAGTCGGGGTCCGTGGCATTCACTGTCAGTAGCACACTGCCCACAGAGATGTTCTCCTGCCTGGTCACCATCATGGGGTCTGGGTAGAAGACTGGGCCCTCGTTGACATCCAGGACAGTGATGTGGACAGTGGCTGTGGAGCTGGGGCCATAGGAGACATCGGGTACGAGTGGGTCCTCATTTTCCACTTTGATCAGCAGGGTGTGAAAGGCGGAAATCTCATAGTCCAATGGCTGGAAAGCAGACAGAAGGGTCTCAGGATGCACACCAGCCACGAAGGGCAGGTGGTTTGCACAAGCTCCCTCTGAAATTCCACGAGCAACAGTGGGCCTTCAGGGATGGAGCTGGGCTTTGGAGGCAGCCTGTGTAATTGGGGGGCTATCTTTAAGACAAAGAATATGAAACATGAAAATGTGAGATTAGGTATGGATGTTGGTTTTTTGTTTGCTTGTTTGTTTTTTATTAAGAAATGAATGACAACAGATGACTTGAGCCTTAGTCATCTGGGCAGTGAGTGACTTGAACCTTAGTGAGCCTCCCTCTGAGATCTTGTTAGGCAACTCCCTGGCAACGGTGAGGCTTAACGCCTCCCTGCCTGGAACCTGTAACTCCACACCCCCGACACCCATGGGGGCTCTGGTAAACAAGACCAGAAAGCCCAAGCCTCAGTCACTTTACAGCAAGATAACCCTGCCTCTGTGATCACAGTGGATCAAATGGAACAGGAAAACCAAAGTTTTATTGTTAATGTTTCTCTCTCACTTGCCACAAAGTCAAAGGGTCTCTATGTCTCTTCAAGTATAGCCTGGGCCCATGGTTTCTAGTAGAGTACAATGTGGGGAAAAGGATTTGAGAGTCTGAGCCATGTGGAGTTAAGCCGCTGGGCCCTGCCCATCTGAGGGCATGTGAAAATGTATGGGAGCATTTTCAACTGACTCAAGGACTCTACAGCCATTTGCCCGGCAGGGGACAGCAATACTAGACTCAAAGCCGTGCCCAGGACAGTTCCACACAAGGGTGGATTGTCCTACCACAGTGTCAATGGGCAGCCTTGATGAGGACCACTCTAGGTGATTTTGCAAAGGGGGCCAATAGTACCCACCTCCCCCAGCCACTGTGTGGACTAAACCAGAGGATGTCAAAGAAACTCCATGATAAACATTAGGAATACAATGGTGCTGCCAACTGAGTGTCTGTCACTCTCTTTCTCAACCACGAGAGCACATGATGTGGTGGCTGCAGGCATTTCCCCGAGTGGGGCTCTGTCAGGGGAGCATGGGGAGACATTTAGGTAAGATGAGGGCATACTGCTTCTGTCAAGTTATTTTCCTAATGCTTACTGGAACAAGTAGCTAACCCATCAGACCCATGCCATAATGGGTATTCTTGCAAGAAGGACAAGACTAAATGAGTCAAGAGATTTGATTTACCCTCAAGTAAAAGTGAGCAACCACAGTTGTAGAGGTTGCAGTGGAGGTGGGAAAATGAAAGCAGAGATGAGGACCGTTGATGCTGGGGAAAGAGCTGGCACTGAGGTGGGAGTGGAATCTGGCAGGTTGGGTCAGAGTGTCTTTAGGCAAATAAAGTCACTTTCATAATAATTACAGCTGACATGTATTCAGGGCTAAGCCCTCCACACATGGAAGAGTGCGTGCACACATACACACACTGGAGATGCTTCCTGGTTGTAACTGGACTTCCTCTCTTCACCTCGAACAACTCCCAGCAGGGTTAGTAATAGGATTTTAAGAGTTAACAGATGCAAAGCTCTTAGTACTGAGCGGCTGCACAGTGGTGTTTCGGTTCGATCCCTGTAACACAGCAGTAATTTACCATTCTATCCTTCTTTCTATGGATCCTAATAATGGATCTCTGTCCATCCCAAGTGATGCCAGAATGTGCAACCTCAGTAAAGTAAACTTCAAACCAGGGCCAGGGAGCTGCCATGCTTGGAAAATACAGCTATTCATCTCAATTAGGATCCTGGAGGGGGCAGAGCCTTTGGCTTGCTGGGTCACGAGAACGCTGAGGGTGGGTTCTCTGAACAGCAGTGAGATGCCGAGCACCTCAGTCTCCCAAGGGCCATCTCCACCCACACCAGCACTAATCACAATCTTGGCCTCGTTTGGTCTGACATCTCATTCCCCAGAGCCAGAGACCTATGCACAAGCAGAAGGATAGTGGGGTTTCTGGGGAATTCAGCCATCTGCTGACAAGTGAGACAGTCAAGATGCTTGGAAATAACCAATTTGTGCCGCTCAGCTCCTTTTCCTCGGCTGGGGACCGCTGGTTGTTTTTTCCCAAGGAGACGATTCCCTCCCTCCCTCCTCTCCTTCTTTCCTGGGGACATCATTATTTGCAGCAAAAGTTCTTGCTCTTATAACTATAAGCTGCCTTGGAGGCTGTAGACAGAGACCCTTTCTTTCACCCGTGAATACAGAGCACCTAGCACAGTGTCAGGACCATAGTGAGCTCTAAATAAATATCATTGCATGAATGAATGAATGAATGAATGACAGTAATTCTTGTGCTTTTCTGTAGCACTAGTCTTTTGCAACACAATTATATATCATTTTGATTATGCAAAAATCTAACATTCTTGGATATTTCTACCTTTTAAATCCCCTATTTTTTTAATTAAATAGAAAGATGGGTGGGGGTCAAGTCCTGGCCCTGATGCATCATAACGCTGGGACCACCAGCAAGTCACCGCCGCCCCTGAAGTCTCAGCTTTCTCTTCAATAAAATCCTAGTACAGAGGATTGTTGTAAAGATCAGGGGACAAGATGAACGCTGAATATTTCCCATGGAGCTAGGCCTAGCGTTGGTATCAATAACAAGAAACTGTGAAGATGGTGAGGAAAAAGAGCGGGGAAGCAAGAGCTGCAAGAGTCATTTCCCCAGCCCCAGTTTTTCTCCTATGTTCCCAGGCTGACACTCCCTGAGCGGAACGGCCTGAACGGAACGCTGGCTTTGGAGGAACTATGCCGTGGAGGATGCCACAGAGGAAGGGGAGCAGCGAGGGAGGGAGCCACGCAGTGAGAGGCTGGCCTTAGGAAGGGAGCAGGGCCACGCTAATGTTTCTTTCCATTCGCCCAAGGTGGGATCTACTAACTCCAGCTGTACGATGCCCAGGGCCAGAACACCTAGAGCTGGCGACACAGGGGTCTCTCTTCCTAATCCCCTCTGAGGGCTGTAATTGGATCAAGAAGCCCTCTATGATCTCACAAAGTACACAATCTTATTAATGTGCTTTGTCTGTTGCCGGGCCTCTGTGTCAGGGATGGGAGGAAATTGAAAATACTCCTGATGGAAGCTACAGAGAGGCAATTCAATTAACATTTTTTCAAGTGTCAAGAGAGGGTGTAAACCACTGTCCTGGGAAATTTAAAGCTTAGAAAAGCTGACTCACATGGGAAGGATGGAGGACCTGGGTTTGTTAGCTGGAAGAGGGAGGATCCGGAACTGACTGGATAGCTATGTTTAGGTCTGTGAAAGGTTTGGGGAATCAGGGATGCTTTCTGGATACTACTTTCTTTGAGGACAAAATAGAAAATAAACTTAAAATGCAGGGTTGATTATATTCAGCTGAAAGAATAACTGTCTGGTGGTTTTAGAATCAGTTTAGAAAGCAACTAACGGTGTTTCTGATCTGAAGGTTTTAAACACGAAGCAGGAACTCATTTGTCAGAGCCACTGGGATTTCATCCTTTTGAGAGGCAGGACTGTACTGGAAACCAGCAGCATCCTGAGGCTCCAAATAGTTGTTCCGTATGTTAGATTGCTAACTGGTTAGGGCAGACCTGCTCGTGCTTGGCTGCCCAACAGCAATCACCAGCCCACCCTCTTCCTTATCCACTGTAAAGGTCCAAAGGCCAGATGTGGACTTTCTCAGCTTTCCTTGAAGTTAAGGAAAATCTGTCATCGGCCAACAAAACATCATGGGAAATTGCCCAGGGTACCCTTAGAAAGGATGTTTTCTGCCCCGATAAGAGGAGAGGGTCACATGAGAGCACCTTCTCTCATTTGCCTGGCTGCCCCCTTATGTCCTGCATTAGGATACAGCAATGGGAAGATATGATGCCTGGGGCTTTGGCAGCCACTTTATGTCCAAGAGGAAAAAGTCAAAAGCATCTGAGGCACCCCACTGCTGGCTCTCTGCCACCCGGAACTGTTGGCCAATCCTGGACTGGCCTACCTTCATCTAGTTATAAAAATTCTAGGCCGGGCACGGTGGCTCAAGCCTGTAATCCCAGCACTTTGGGAGGCCGAGACGGGCGGATCACGAGGTCAGGAGATCGAGACCATCCTGGTTAACACAGTGAAACCCCGTCTCTACTAAAAAAATACAAAAAACTAGCCGGGCGAGGTGGCGGGCGCCTGTAGTCCCAGCTACTCGGGAGGCTGAGGCAGGAGAATGGCGGGAACCCGGGAGGCGGAGCTTGCAGTGAGCCGAGATCTGGCCACTGCACCCCAGCCTGGGCGACAGAGCGAGACTCCGCCTCAAAAAAAAAAAAAAAAATTCTTAAATTCCCTTCATTAGTTAAGCCACTATTAGTCTAACATTCTGTTACTTGCAGCAGAATGCATTCCTAATGGTTGCCCCAATGGCTGGCACAGTGGATAGTAGCAGAGAGCATGGCCTAACTGGCTTCTAGAAGGTGGTCTGGGGCTCTGCTTCACATGTGCTGAGAGATAGATAGAGCTCAAGGCCCTTCCTACTGACCAGGGAGACAGCCAGTGTGGGGTGAGGGAGAGTCTGCATCCCAATTCCAAAGCAAAGGAAGTCCACTCACTAGCAAAGCTGAAGTCAGCAAGAGCCTCAGCCTCTGTGGGCACCTCTTCCCCTGGAATTTGCAGGGAGGGCGGACAAGCTTATGGAAACCCCTTCCCCAAAGGCCATGCCCCTTGACAAGAGGTGTGCCCTGTGAACAACAGAACCACCTGGCACACCTCTCCCTCATTTTCTGACACAGTGGGTCTGGGGCAAGCCCAGAAATCTGCATTTTAACTAGCATTGCAGATGATTCTTATATATGCTAGCATTTGAGAGCCATTGCATCATGGACCAGCGCAGGAATATAGGGAGAGGAGAATGGCTCCTTCCTACAAGTCCTGTTTTTTTTTATTTTTTTATTTTTTTATTTTGAGACAGAGTCTCACTTTGTTGCCAAGGCTGGTTAATAGGGTGGTAGTCATTAGTCCATCGAGATGTCTTATTTAAGAGGAACATGTGGGTGATCTTACTTAGTTTTATGGCCCTGAAGTAAGAACCAGATGCCAGGTACAGTTTCAGGATAGTCACCCCCAAGTGTTACGGGCCTGGAGCGAGGAGGGTAGTACTGCTGAGCGGGATGATGATTTCTCAGAGGCTGGTATATTCAGAGGCCAAAATTTGGTAGGGGATATCCTTGTTGGTGAGGGACTTCTTGATTGAGATGTGCTATGTCCAATGAACGAATGTATGTACTACATAATATTAAGGATTTCTAGTACAGGTCAATATTTGTATGGGTTAGGTTTTATTATGTACCTGACAACAGTAGATGTGTGGTAGTTAATTAAGGAATTGTTAATATGTGCTTATATGTATGTAGACTAGGTTTGTAATGTACTCTTATATATGAATGTACTATGTACGAATAAGCAATTACAGTACTGCATATTATTCATGGGAACTAGCAGTGATGCACGAAGTACATAAAAGCACTAATGTATTAGGCAATGGCAAAGTTATCAGGAAACCCTGGCACTGGCCCTCTGTGTCCGTGGCTGCTGCACTTTCGAAGCTGTAAAAGTCATAGAATGACATAGCCACTGGCTGTCCTCTGTGGCTAATCCTGAGTCTATAAAAGCTGTCAGGCAATTTTCCAAACCTGCAACTGGAAGATAAAACTTGAGTAAATAGACATCTCCATCACACATCCTGGAGCTCAGTCCTCCCCAGAATGTGTTTGCTACAGCTCAAGGAAAATAGATATGAGCAAAACAGGATTTGGCAGGGTGCAGTGGCTCATGTCTGTAATCCCAGCACTTTGGGAGGCTGAGGCAGGTAGATCACTTGAAGTCAGGAGTTCAAGACCAGCCTGGCCAACATGGTGAGACCCATCTCTATTAAAAATACAAAAATCAGCTCGGTGTGGTGGCATGTACCTGTAATCCCAGTTACTCAGGAAACTGAGGCAGGAGAATCACTTGAACTCAGGAAGTGGAGGTTGCAGTGAGCTGAGATCATGCCATTGCACTCCAGCCTGGTGACAGAGCGAGACTCCATCTCAAAAAAAAAAAAAAGAGATTCCAGAGAGCTGCCTCACTCTATCTACCATGTGAAGATAGAGAGAGAAGATGGACATCTGTCAAAAGTGGGTCCTCACCAGACACAGAATCTGCTGGAAGGCTGATCTTGGACTTTTTAACCTCCAAAACTGTGAGAAATGAATGCCTGTGGTTTATAAGCCACCCAGCCTTCATTATAGCAACTCAATGGATTGCAACAACAACCCTAAGAGGTAGGTTCTATTATCATTCTCATTTTATGGATGGGGAAACTGAGGCACAGAAAACATGGGTATCTTGGCCTAGGGCACACAGGGAGTGGGCAGCCACATCCCTCCTCTGCTCACTGCTACTATGACTGTAAATATGATTGATCCCTGCTGCTCAGGAAAATGGCTTCATCCACTGGAAAAGAAAATGTGTTCCCATGAAGGTCCTGGTCTCTGGCAGAAATTTTCCCCAGAACTTCCCATTAAGAGTGAAACTGTGTAGAAATGCCTTCTTTCGGAATGCCAAGGTCACCTGTAGCAAGCCTTCTGTGCCACCATCCCCAGTAATATTTCTGGATTATCAGCATGAGCCAGAGGTTTTACATTTATAATTACATTTCCTCCTTGTTCTACTCGTTGCCAGCAAGAGGGTCAGTGTGTGAGTCAGCAAGGCTCACAGAGGGTTGACACCAATAATTATGTTGTGTGTGTGTTTCTAAGGAATAATTGAGTTCTGCTAAGAAAGATTAAGAAGACATGTCATAGCCACATTTTGAGTACAGATCTCTAAAAACACCTTCACACGTCTCATTTTGGCATATCTGTTAATAATTCCTTAGCAAATGTATAAAGAATTTCATTTAAAACTTAAGTTTGGGCCAGGTATGTAACCCCAGCACTTTGGGAGGCCAAGGCAGGCGGATCACTTGAGGCCAGGAGTTTGAGAGCAGCCTGGGCAACATAGTGAGACCCCATTTATAGTAAAAATACAAAAACTAGCCAGGCATGGTGGCAGGCAGCTGTAATCCCAGCTACTCAGGAGGCTGAGGCACGAGAATCACTTGAACCTAGGAGGTGGAGACTGTAGTGAGCTGAGATCACACTACTGCACGCCAGCCTAGGCGACAGAGTGAGACTGTCTCAAAAAACAAAAACGAAAACAAAAATAATCCACTTAAGTTTGGTTTTCTTGAAGTTACACGTAAGTTTGGGTATTTTAGAACCTATAAAACAGGTTTGTTTGATGGCTGCTTGTTTCTGCTGCTGAGGACAGGAGGGCACCCTTAAGCTATAAGCATTTTCCTTTGTTAATTCCCAGAAGGAGGAGACTGGGGGAATTTATCTGTGGCCTTCTAAACTCGGTGATTCTATGAGTCCCCTCATAGGGCCCTCCACGCTTGCAAGAGGAGAAAGGGGCAGTTGGAAGCACCCTTACTTTGACGACAGAAAGCATCCCTTCATTGGTTTGGGGGTTGGTGTGGATTTCGAAGCTCTGCCCTGGGTTTCCGTTGATGATGGTGTAGGCAGCCCTCCATGCACCTGTGGTGGGGTCATCCTTATCTTCAACTGTCAAATTGACAATAACTCCCACAGCTCCTTCCTCGACTGTGGCTTGAAACTGCAAAAAAAAGCAGATGACAATGGTCACTATTTTGAACACACATAGTCAATTACATGCTTTGCATTGGGTATGTTACACACATCATCTCACATAAACATAAATAACATAGGAGGATTATGATTGGAAGATACTATGCTCCTCTGCTCAGCTTTTCTTGAACTTAGGTGAGGCCATGAGACTAACTTCTCTTCTGCAGAATGTAGGCAGGAATGATATTGACCATGGCTGTGCTGTGCTGCTCTGAGGTGGGAGGGTGAAAAGAACAGCTGTTCCTCCATTCTGGGCTCTTTCACCCTCTGCCTACCTGAATGCAGAGGACCACAAAACCCCAAGGGAGCAGGGAGCCACAGGGGAGGAGGAGCTTGGGTCCCTGAGTCACCACATGGAGGGGAGAAACCTGGAGGCCAAGAACACCTGTCCTGAACTATCATTGAATGAGAAACAATTTTCGATTGAGTTCAAGCCATTTTTGTTTGCATTTGTTCTCGCAGCCTTGCCTCCCCAAAACAACAACATAATCAGATGAGTAAAGTGCTAAGACTTGTAAATGAAGAGACTGGGGTTTGACCCCAGATCCTCTGCTAGACCCTGCTATTTTCTCGAATGAAGAAAACCAGTCCCATTCTTTCCACTCCATATCCACTCTTAATAGGACCTTAGAAACCATTTTCTAAGAAATCATCTACATCAATTGTTTGGAGCCTTGTTGTACCTGTGTTTCTATTGTAATACATCTCAAATACTTGTTGCAAGTAGGTGTGGTGAAAATAAATCAATAAATGAAAAATCAACTTTCTCATAGATAGAGAATTTCATGAGCTATCATTCGCACATTCCTTTGAGCTGGAAGCATAAAGTATTGTTTTGGTGCTTACCTCTGACACATTACAGGTAAATAGTAATCTGTTTGCAAATATTTTATAAACAAGTAACACCAATAAGCTGACAAGAAGAAGAAATATCTTGGAATTTCAATTAGTAGGAAAGTGAATCTAGAGACAGTAAGATGATGTCAAAAAGCCCTTGTGTTCAAAGAAAAGTAATTTGAGAAATGAGGTTTCAAAAGCAGTGACTGATTAATTGACTTGCAAATCATTAATCATAAACCTTAATCCTGAGGCCTCTCAGGAGATGGGGCGGGGAGTGGAACTAATTTGTTTATTGTACCTCGGCAAACCTGGACGAGTTGTCTTCCATAAAAGGAGAGCTGGAAAATTCTTAGAACATGCATAGAAGCTAGGAAATAGTGGGAACGAGGAGGGATACTGAGGCTGCTGTCACACAGAAACAGCTCCAGGGGGCAATTATTTTGATCTGATTCATATGATTCTTGTTTAATATCTACCTATCTTCCATCTTCTCCTCTTCTCAAAAAATCATAGAATTCTTGAGCTGGAAAACTATACTAATGGTTCTCAGCCCTGTCTGCACATTAGAACCTCCCAGAGGCTTTGAAAAAGCTTCCTGAGTCCTATTCCAATTCAGGATTCCCCAAGGTCAAAGTGAATGAAAATCTATTATGGTAGGAGGGATTGATGAAGGAGAAAGTACCTGGGGTCCTCTAGCCAGGTTGGAGCACAAGGGAGATCAGTCCATCTCTGGTCTTCTGCAACATGCAGGCAAGTGGCAGAATCAGGCGTCAGTCAGGGAATCAATTCAGATTCAGACTCCCCAGACCAATTCAGATTCCCCAGGCTCTGGGGTAAAGCCTGGGACTCAGTATTTTCTTCATCTGACTAGACAAATCCAATATGTAGTAGGGGCAAGAAGCAGGATGGAGTCCAAGTCTAAGGATGGCAGGCAGGTGTCAATGACAGGACCTACCCTTGTGAATGGGTGAAGCTGCCTGAGTCTGGTGTGGACAGGCCTGCAGTACATCTGGGTTCAGCAGGAAAGAGTGCTGTGACCAATTAATGCTATCTGCCATGTAGCCAGGAGGGGGCTTGGTGACACATGAGTGATCTAATCCCTTCATATTACAGATGAAGATGATAGCACAGAGAAGGAAGGAAGGAAGAAGGAAGAGTGCTGCCCAAAGTCATTTAGTGACCCAAAGATCAGACCTAAGTGTCCTGGTTTTCGGTAATCTTTGCTCCCAACCAGTTCTGTCATTCGTGCCCACCTCAGATCCCCAGGGCTTAGGCCAGTCCTTCCTTCACCTGCTTGCTGCAGTCCAGAGCCAGAGGACTGGTTGTCCCTGAAGATCACAGCAGATGTCAGCTTATAACCTGTCCTTGTGGCTCTTCTGACACCTGTACCTTAGGAAACCAGGTGTCAATCATGTGGGCATGAAATGGGCTAAGGCTAGAGGATGCTGGGAACCACCCGTCAGGTAGAAATGCTGTCATGTCCAGTGCATAAGTGAGAAGTTGCTCTGTCAAAGCGGGTGTCATTGCCAAGATGAAAACGCTGTGACAAACCATGATTTGAGGAGGCTGGAGGCTCTATGTGCACTGTCTCTTCATGTGTTTATCTCTAGTCTCTTGCATGGTGCTAGGTGCACAGAAGAAACTCAGTAGATATTTGTTGAATGAATGAACGATCTTAAGTATAGGAAGTGGGATCTGGCAGCAGAGGCAAGGGCTGAGGGAATGTGAAGGGACAAAGCCATACAGAAGGAAGACTAAAAGGGACTGACTTGTTGACTGATGCCTGATTCTGCCACTAGCCTGAGTGTTCCAGAAGACCAGGGATGGACTGATCTCCCCTGTGTTCCAGCAGAGCTGTGCCATGACTGGTGGACCCCAGGCACCTTTGCCTTCATCAATCCCTCCTACCATAATAATGTGCCTTAAAAAATTTATTTTGGGGGCTGGGCATGGTATTCTAACACTGCAATCCTAGCTCTTTGGGAGGCTGAGGTGGGAGGATCACCTGAGCCCAGGAACTCAAGATGAGCCTGGGCAACATAGTGAGATACCCTCTATAAAAAAAAAAAATTGTAAAAAATTAGCCAGGTGTGGTGGCACGTGCCTGTGGTCCCACACACTCAGGAGGCTGAGGTGGGACGATCTCTGAGTGTAGGAGTTTGAGGCCGCAGTGAGTTATGATTACACCACTGCACTCCAGCCTTGGTGACAGAGCAAGAACCTGTCTCAGAAAAAATTATTTTTATGATGTGAAGAAAAGAATTAAAAATTTATTTTACCCTAAAAGTTATTTTTATTTCTTTCTGATTTTAGGGTCCTAGCACATGATAACCGTGCCTGATGGATGAGTCAGCCCTGATCCAACACACGAGCAGGTCTGAAGATGGGATAGATGAATGGATAGATGGATGGATGGATGGGTGGGTGGATGGATAGATGGATAGACAGATGGGTGGATGGATGGATGGGTGGTGGATGGATGGATGGGTAAGTGGGTGGATGGGTGGATGAATGAATTAATAAAATTAATATTTAGGCCACATATAAGTGAGACAAACCTGTGCAGCTTCTTTCACGACACTGACAGTTTTATGTCTGCAGCACCTGCTGAAGGGGCTGGTATAGAATACCTTGTTAGTGTGTGAGCAAATGAATTCAAGTAGAATGGAAAGGTGTTGATGTGCTAGGAATTCTCAGAGATGTGCACTGTGGCCCTCATGTGTCCTTGGATGGGTCCACAACAATATTTACCTGCCATCCATCTATTTATCCATCCATCTATCCATGCATCCATCCATCATCCATCTCTTTATCTATCATTACATTCATCATCCATCCATCCATCCATCCATCCATCCATCCATCATCCATCTATCATCCATCCATCCATCCATCCATCCATCCATCCATCCATCCATCTGTCCATCCGTCCATCCAGGGATACACCACTAAACAAAACAGACATGATATTTCCTCATGGAAATTGCAGGCTGAAACGAGAGACAGATAGGAAAGAAATGTATAACAATGTGTTAATTGTTAAGGAATAAAATCACAGTTCTTGGGGAGTCTCTCTTTGTGTGTGTGTAGGCGGGTATCTGATCCAGTCCGGAGAGGATCATCAGGGAAAAATTCCCTGAGAACTGAAAGAAGAGGAGGCCTTAGAGAGGTGAAGGGGGTGAGAACACACCTGGCATCTGAAAGAGCAGGAACAAAGGCCAGGTGGCAGGAAGAGCCACAGGTGCCTTTGCAGAGCAAACGCAAGCTGGGTGTGGCTGGAATGAAGGGAAGAGCCAGAGAGAACTCTTTGACATCAGACTCCAGAGGTGGTAGTCAGCTTATGCAGGGCCCTGTTGGCCATGGAAAGGCATTTGGGATTTACTTTGAAAGCAAAGTGTAGCCTAATCAAGGAACTGGGTTATGTTTAAATTTACTCCTGAGAGAATACAAAAAAAAAAAAAAAAAATTAAATATGGAAAATGTTCAACACAATTATTATAGTCTTTGTTAAGACCATTATCTGATTTCTGCATAAACTATGAAGCAGTTTCTTTGAGCATCCATTTAGAAGCTCATTATTGCTTAATTAAATACTCATTCTATTAATTCTATTCAACGTTTTAACCCCATTATATAATTCAAGAAAGGAAAATTAAATAGATTAAGATGAAATGGTACCATTTTACATTTCTATAGCAATGCTCACTTTGTGATTTAAAAACAATAGACAGACATTAATTTACCACACTAGAGCAGGAGGAATTATTGATTGTACTATTACTACCTTTAATTGGAAAAAATAGATAAAGTTACTTTTCTGTTAAACTGTGTGGCAAATCAAATGCCAGATATAAAACGTATTTTTACACAATCACTGTGGCTTGTTGGGACTATGTACTGGGCTTATTTGCTCTTCCCTCCAAATTCAGAACTGAGTATTTTGTTTTCTTTGAGTTACATCATAGACATTTAGGATGAGGCTGCCTGGATGAGCCACAAAGGCCATCACTAGCAGGAAGAGGGATTTGAATTTTATTATGCACCAAGAATGCATGTTCTTCCTCCAAGAGCGGAAAGTTGACCTTTAGATTAACATGGAAGATGGAAATAATGATCAGAAGGTTGGAA